GCCTAGAAAGGCCCAGAAAGGCTGATTATGTGTACTGATATCTGTATCTACATATCAAGGTCACATTTACATCCCTCAATCCACCTATAGATATATATGAGTGTGTAGCTCTTCTCATCCTTCCAGCTTCTCTAGATTAGGTATAAACTCAATGTTTTGACCTCTCTGGAATCTAGGGGATTCAGAAGGTATCCCAAGGATTCCTTGTGTATCATTTAGTCTTTCTTATATCTGGAAAGTGATTGGGAACCGTTTTCTCGAATACTTGGAATCCTACGATTTGAAGGCTTCTCGGTTACCGGGAACATTCTGGCATCATCGAGGCGTCGCCTCTTGCGCTAATCTCAACGAATCCCAAGGATTCCATGCTTATGATATTTTCTTTCTTATATATGCAACTTCATTTGGAATGGTTTTCTGGAAACCCTGGAATCCTCGGATTTTAAAGCTTTTCAGTTAGCGGCAACGTTGGAACATCATTATCTCTTGCGCTAATCTCAAGGATTCCTTGTGTATCATTTATTGTTTCTTATATATAGAAATTCATTGGCAATGGGTGTCTGAAATTCTTGGATTTGAGGGGTTCTCGGTTACGGCAACGTTGGGACATCTTGCGGGCACCGTCTCTTCTATGAATCTCAAGGATTCCGTTTTCGTGGAAGTCAGCCAGGTCTCCGCCCTCATCCCTTGTTATGCCTTTCTCACGATTCCAAGGAATACCATTATTGGTCTGTGCGTGCATTTGAATCAATATTGAATTTTTGTACTCGATGATTTCCACAATCGACGACATAGAGATTACCGTGTCGATCGAATGACAAACCGAAGGGCCAATAGAGTTGGTTCAATTGTCCTCCTCTACCGTTTCCACCAACAATGACACTTCCCTGTGTGGCTCCTTTGGGCCAACGCATTATTCGATGATTCCCGTCATCAGCCACATAGACAGTGCCCAATTGATCGACAACGACTCCTCGAGGATATGACAATTGTGTAAGACCATTTCCTTGTCCTTGACCACCAGCCACGACAATGCCTTGTTTTGCACCTTCCACCCATT